GCGTGATTGGGAAACCAGTGAGTTATACTGAGTCTAACTTTCTTTGTCCTTCAAAGCATTGACACAGAACTAATATTGTCTAACAATTTCTGCATATTCACGTCAAAAAAGAACTGAGTGAGGGTTGTAGAGGAGGACTTGGTATTTTTGCCCCGACTTCGGGACAGGTGATTCCCGTTTATATGTAATGACGCATTATATCTAAATAACCTTTTCGCTAGCCATGCAAGTATCCCATCTGTAACTTCGTAATCGGAATCCCATCGTACACTTTGGATTTATGCGGCCTAACTCCTCATGATTTTGGTAGTCAGGCTACCATCGGGGAGATGAAGGTCAAGTTCGAAAATGGGCCTTGTGGGGGAGGCGGCTGCAAAGGTCACTCCAGTGGACCTTTGGTGTGTGTGTGTGTTGACAGTATGACTCAAGATTCTGTGGATGCATCGTGGTGAAATTTACTATGTGGGTAGCGTCAATAAAGAGGAAAGCTAAGTTCAAAATTGGGCCTGGTCCTCCTTTTCCCAGGCAATGTGCACTTACATTATATTATGGTCACACAGTAGTTTCCCATACACAAAGGTCATTGTCATCTGCTTGGACTCCATCTTCAACGTCCTCGAGCAGATTAGCAAGACTTACTTGAAGTTGATCAGCAGTCGGCCTGCGGTCAGGAATGTTACGCCAGCATTTACACATCAGCATGTACAGGCCCATGGAGCAGCCCTCTGGCTTCTCCATGTGGATTCCGTGTCTGAGCATTTTTAACATCTGACAACAGTTCGGTCGGAAAGGTCCAGGGTAGCGAGGCTCCTCTCCTAGACTGGCGATCTCCCACAGCATGACACCGAACGACCACACGTCGCTCTGACAGGTGTACTCTCCATACTGGAGAGACTCCAGCGCCATCCACTTCAGCGGGAGTAACTCATCCCGCCCGTGCTGATTGGTCCGCTCGTACACAGTGTTGGTGTAGACGTCTCGGGCCAAACCGAAGTCCGCCAGTTTAGCGACCATTTGGTCTGTGATGACCACGTTCCGGGCGGCCACGTCGCGATGGACAATCCTGACTCGTTCTAACTCCTGTAGAGCCTTGGACACATCGACGGCGAAGCCGAGCAGAGTGGCCCAGTTCACCGCGTCGATGTCGTCTCGGAGTCTCGTCAGATACATCTGAAGATCTCCGTGAGGGGCGAATTCTAGTATTATTCTCTTCGGGTCAGACAGGGTAACCACACCGTACAACTGGATGATATTTGGGTGCATAACTTTTTCATTTTTCTTTGTGTGTAAAGATTGGTCAAAAAGATGGACCAGTATGTGTACCTCTCGATAAAAGTCCCCATAGACGTTAGCTTGGTTGACGTCAAGATCCAGTGTTTTGACGGCTACTCTTATCGGCAGTTGTTCCGGCTGTTGTAAGGTTCCTTCTACAACATGTCCGAACGTCCCAACCCCGACCAACCCATCAAGGGCAAGGGTCAGGAACTGTGGGTCTCGTTCCCATGGTACTAACGTCTCTGCCAAATACGGCTGTTGACTGACACCAAGAAGTTGGAGTTCCTCATGGACCTGTTCTTGGCGTTGTCCTCTTAGAAATTTTCTTCGTCTCCTTCTTCTCATAACTATGCAAGCAACTGTTACAAAAAGGAAGGGAAGGATGAAAACGAGCATGATCAAAAATCTTGAAGCCTGCTGTGCCGTGTATACTGGACCTCTTTGCTTCCCTTCACAATATTTTCCGGTCAGGCCCGGCGGACAGATACAAGTACCGTTGAAAGGGCTGCACTCGGCGCCGTTTTCACATCGACACGGTTCGCAGTTTGTCCCGAATGTTCCCGAAGGACATGGTGTGTCACAAGAAGGACCTGTCCAGCCGGCCTCACATACACACCCCGTCCAACGGTCACAGCCAACGTTATGTAGACAGTCGCACGGCCTGTCACAACGCTCCCCGTGTAGACCGGGAGGACACTCCATCACCTCTAAGACGTAGTTTCTCTCCAGTATCTGTCCATCAGGTGTGCCGGCTTCACACGTGTACACACCGTTGGTCTCTGGTAGAATCGGCTGGATGGAAATGTTACGGGAAGTTTGGATGAAAACCTTGGAACTGTTGTTGCGAGATGACCGAAACCACCACGTCATGGACGAGACATTGATATGGACAGGGCGGCATTGTAGGGAAACATTCCCGGTTATATACATGTTTCCTTCTGGTAGGACGTCAATAGCGACTGCTGGGGTTGGAATATCGCATGCCACGCCCTTCCAACCAGGAGCACACAGACAGGCCCCGTTGAAGCCATGGCACCGGGCTTCGTTCTTACATGTGCAGTTTTTGTCACAAAACGCACCGTATTTCCCATGTGGACAACCGGCAAGTTTGAAAGCAACTTGAAATGTGCCATTCGTGCTTCCGTATGGACTAGGAGCCACTACATCCGTAAATGCATATTTCCATGTCACCGGGGTATTTGTTTTAAGAACGCCAAGGTTAAAGATAAAAAAATACCTGTATTCCCTATCATCGATCCACAGTGGATCCAATAATTTTGCCTCAACAAGTTCAGTGAACTCCATGAAGATTAGTATATCGTTTCCATCGTTAATTGCAGATGAAATTCTGTCAACCACAATAATCGATATCTCGTTTTGCCCTTCCTCTGAGTACTGCGTTAAGTTTCTATAGTAACTCTTCCAGAAATGGTGCATTAATCCCACATCTTAAGCATGGCTCATTCCGAATGTAAAGTTCACTTCACATCTGTCATTTTCCAAGCTAAAGAACAGCCTACGTCTCTTCATATGTAGAATATGGCCAGAGTCTTTAACTTTGATTCCAATGCTTGTTGAGACATCTACTGAATAGTCAGTAAACTCTACCAATCTAGGTACACCAGAGGTCCTTTCAGGGGTTTCACACCTTTTGTTGTAGTATGGAGGGTATCCAGACACGTCCAGCACATGAACAGTCAGATCCCATAGTGTGCACGTGGTGTTTTCAGTGAAGTTGTGTTCGTTTGCAATTAGGATCTGCAATTGGTAAGTCGATTGTATTCGATAATCCAATGGATTGGCAACTTCAACAACGCCTTGGCTCTCTGCTATACTAAACCTCTCGTAGTCATTACCATCTACTAATATGTATGCCCATGCCAACTGCAGGGAAGTGTTGTGGCGGGCAACGGCTGTTCCTACTGTGGCGTTTTCAGGAACAAACACAGTTGTATTGAAAGACGCTGTGCCTCTAACTATGCAGAAAAAGGCAATGCCGAACAGAAGGCACATAGCGCCAGGAGGCCGTAGACCGATCATTTCCACGATGCTTGGACAATAGGAAATCTGAGATGATAGAAATAAGACCTTATTAGTACATTCTCAGAACATATACGTTGGCCACAATCTAGACAATAGCTGTAGAACAATAGATTTTATTAGTCTTGGCTTTTCGTGACAAGGAAGTTCCGCTTTATCGAATCCGACTTGCGAGGTTGTAATTGAGTATGAATGAAAATAGCTCTTTTATAAGGATATACTGAATTTGTTGCCTTAAACGAGTTTGATTTATGATTGAGCTTGGATGCAAAGATGATAAGTTAAGTCCGAACCTTCATTAAGTTAATATCCTTCGTCAATAGTTTACCTACGGTTAAAAGCAATTTGATATCAACATATATTACGTTAAGAATTATATATGTTTAGTATAGTTTACTATTACCCATATCGCTATATTGCTTCTTTAAGGCGACGAAACTCTAGCTCTTCCTTTTTTCTACGGATGTTCGTTTAAAAAACAAGAAACAACTAGAGTTCCACGATCTCATACCTTCGCCAAATGATGTTAATCTTTATGACTGACAAATTATACATTAGATTATTCCCCCCCTGATCTAACAAATAGGAACCTAATTTTCATGAATTATATCATTTTATCATAATCTCGACCAAAAGACAGTCTTGTAATAACAAACAATGCATTCAAGTATTTCCTAATAAATTATGCGAATGAGGTCCTGATTTGAATAAATTATTTTCAATGATGTTCACCTCAAATTAACTTTAAAATACCACAAGTATGAAATTCCAGACAGTTATCATTACATAATTATTAAATTATTTCATTAATTATGCAAATTAAGTCATTATTATCATAATCAATATCTGCCTGTGTTTCTCTCGTTGTCAATTACCAATGTCACAAGCTTCAATTGTCTTATCATGGAATGCAGCTGATTTATAGAATTTCCCCATAAATTATGCAAATTACATCCATATTTGCATAATTGTCACATAATTGTATTAAGCATCACGTAAGCTACCTACATATCAAAAATCACGATGATCCGTCAACCGGTTCTTGAGTTATCCTCTTTTTAATATTTTCAAGAATATATTCCTGCAGTTCCAGAGCAAGCCGCTAGGGGGCCCAAACTCACGTCACTTCTTCCCCAGCACAAGAGCTACCTACCATCTAAATTTCATCACCATAGCATGTCTAAATCATGAGATATCAAAACAGGAAGTTCAGCTGCAGTACCATAACAAGCCGCTAGGGGGTCCAAAATCTAATCATTTTGAGGTCTCATCAAGACCTACCCATCTACCAAGTATCAAGACAATCCATCAAGGCCTTCTCAAGTTATCGTGTTGACAGACAGACAGACAGACAGACACACACACACACACACATACACGAACGCCTCTGAAAACATAACCTTCTTGGCGAAGGTAATTATTATGTGTACATGTTCCAACTCACCAGTTTGAAGATCACAATCGAACCCACAACACGCTTGCTGGCGACGTTACAACTACTAGATGTGCATTCCGTTATGAACTAACGTAGCTGTACCTCGTGGGCCGTGGTTCACTTCCGGAAATATTTGGTCAACATAAAACAAAACACACGAGTTGTAAGGGGATGACCAACGTAAACCCCTGTTTTCAGTTCTTCCTAACGATTTTTCTGGCCCTATTTCAAGCGTGGAGGGATACACTTCTTTTGCAGGGAATGCGCCGTGCGAGTATGCGGAAATGAAACTCTCAACACGGAAACGGAACAAAGCAGACGTAAGGCATTTCTCCGGGCATAATCTGGCAAACGTTAACAGGTGAGTTAGATTAATTTGTTTGTCCTCCCAAATAATGGTTGATGAGTTACATATATTGAATTGATATCCTTGTAAGGGTAAAGTAATGGTTGACTAGTTTCGCTGACAACAGGTGTTTAATGACTCGAAATATCCGAATAGCCTTTTCGCTAGCCATGCAGGTATCCTTTCTGTAACTTTTCTTTTGATGTCATCCTTCTCGTGATCAGGGAATGTAATGTAGTAGCCACACAGTGTGGGAGGGACCCAGTAGAATTGTATACGATGTATTCATTTAAATCAATGGTTGTGTCTAGCCCCCAGTACTCTCCAACCCGTTGCCAGTGTTGCCAGCCCGCCCAAACTAGCTAGCGCTCACCGGGAACTTTTATGGCCATGGGGTGAAATGGGATACATTGCCCACAATGTTAGCGGCTATGATAAGAAAGATCACTGGTTAGAAAAATCTCAATGTTTAGTAGGACTGGGGTTTGGCTTTTGTGCTGGCTCTTCGTCTTCTTTGTTTGAATTTGACCCCGCAGAAATACCATAAAAGATACGTGAATGTTCCGTTATTCCAGTAGGGAACAAAATTTTAAAAAAATTGACGCATGCTTTGTGGTATGCTTACATAACAAATACCATGCTGTATGACTGAGCATCATCTTTCCTGGAATAGGCATACAAAGGGCTTGGGTATGATATTACCATCACTAAACTTCCAATGAAGCTGGTGTGCTAAGCTCATCAGGGTTATACCCATTCACTGACACGGACGCAAGCTAATTATAGAGCAATTGACTTGGCACACAATTAAATATGCCTGAGTCTGTTAAAAGCAGAAGTTCCTTGTGTGGTTGTCACGCTAGCGCTATTGACATAAGTAACGTTGCTAGTTCCGCAAGCATGTGACCCAAATAAAGGTCGCTGCCCTGCCTTTTACGTTCTTGTACACACGAGGAGACCTTTTAATACATCAACAATATCAAAAGTATCACGAAGAGCCTAATGTCCCGATAATTTTTATTTTTTATTTTTTTTTTATTTTTTTATTCAGAAACAAAATGATGATTACAAATGAAAAGACATGGACTAAGTGGCTGCGAACTCAAGTTATGTACAACTTATATTCTCGCAGCCACTTTTACAATGAAAGAAAAATATTTTACAAGACTTTAAAAAAATACATGAGACCTCGCGTGAGTAACAAACCTCCCATCCCAGAAGACACATACAGTTAGAACCTTTTTGTATCTAATATATAATTTTGAGCGGCTAACATTATTTTACAGTTGGTATCATACGGTGAAGTCGGGTAATGAGAATACAGGAAGAACGAGAACCAAAGCTAAAATGGTTTAGCTTTACAGGACGTACCGATTTAAAAAGATATGAACGAAATTTTGGATACGAAAGAGTCCCGATAATTATAAGGCCACTAGTACTACATATAGAATAGGCGTACGATGTGACATTGGCGAAAGGCGATATGTGTTCCGTAAAGTAGCTATGGGCACAAATGGAAGTAGAACAGGAGACGCTATGGTTGAAAGCACAAGAATAACCAGGACAGAACTGCCAATATGTTAATGTCTTTTGCACTGTATGAAAGCCACAAGGACTGATATTTATATAAATGATTCTGCCCACGTAGGTTTGCAACAACCCACGCATCAACATGATTTATTCTTGGACCCCCCGGTTGCTGTATATTCAACTCATCAGCGTTGTTTTAGTCTCCATCTCAAAGCCGGTTGGAGGCACAGCGTCTTTCAACACAACCGTGTTTGTTCCCGAAAACGCTGCAGTAGGAACAGTCGTTGCCCACCACAGCACTTCCCTGCAGGTGGCAAGTACTACTTATAGACTACTTGATGGTAATGACTACGACAGGTTTAGTTTAATAGAGAACCAAGACGCTGTTAAAGTTGCCAATCCTTTGGATTGTCGAATACAGTCCATCTATCAACTGCAAATCCTAATCCTAATCGGCAACGAACGCAACTTGACTGAAAACACCACACTCTGGAACCTGACTGTTCATGTCCTTGACGTGCCTGAATACCCTCCATACTACAACAAGACGTGTGAAACCCCTGAAAGATCCTCTGGTGTACCCCGATTGCTAGAGTTTACCAATTGTTTTCTTAACATCTCAACAAGCACTGGATTCAAGATCAAAGAAACGGCTGATCTTGTAACTGTTACGAAACGCTCAGTATACTTTAGTTTAGAGAACGACCTACATGTATGTGAATTAAATGTGACATTCGGGATTAAGCATATCCAAGATGTAGCAAATGCTCATATATTTGCCAAAGCCGGCGTCCTTCATATCACGCAGTATTCTGTGGGAGGAGCCAACAAGATATCAGCGATTCTGATTAACAGAGATGTAATACGAGATCCTGAGTACCCATTCGAGCTGCCTATGGTATTTTCCGAACTTGTTGCTTCTAAAGGTTTGAATCCTATGTGGGTTGATAACGACAGATACAGGTATTTCGTCCTCGTTAGCATTGGCGTACTTAAAACAGCTACGCCGGTTACATACAAACTTGAATTTACGGATGTAAAGTTTTCAATGCCGTACGGAAACGTAACTGGCACAGCTCAGATTACTTTAAAACTTGCTGGTTGTCCACATGGAAAATACGGTGCGTTTTGTGACAAAAACTGCGCATGTAAGAATGAAGCCCGGTGCCATGGCTTTAACGGGGCCTGTCTGTGTGCTCCTGGTTGGAAGGGCGTGGCATGCGATATACCAACCCCAGCAGTCGCTATTGACGTCCTACCAGAAGGAAGCATGTATATAACCGGGAATGTTTCCCTACAATGCCGGCCTGTTCATATCAATGTCTCTTCCATGACGTGGTGGTTTCGGTCATCTCGCAACAACAGTTCCAAAGTTTTCATCCAAACTTCCCGTAACATTTCCATCCAGCCGATTCTACCAGAGACCAACGGTGTGTACACGTGTGAAGCCGGCACACCTGATGGACAGATACTGGAGAGAAACTACGTCTTAGAGGTGATGGAGTGTCCTCCCGGTCTCCACGGGGAGCGTTGTGACAGGCCGTGCGACTGTCTACATAACGTTGGTTGTGACCGTTGGACGGGGTGTGTATGTGAGGCCGGTTGGACAGGTCCTACTTGTGACACGCCATGTCCTTCGGGAACATTCGGGACAAACTGCGAAGAACCGTGCCGATGTGAAAACGGCGCGGAGTGCAACCCTTTCAACGGTACTTGTATCTGTCCACCGGACCTGACCGGAAAAAACTGTGAGAGCTTAAAGCAAAGAGGTGCAGTCTACACGGCACAACAGACTTCAAAATTTTTGATCATGCTCGTTTTCATCCTTCCCGTCCTTTTTGTAACAGTTGCTTGCATAGTTATAAGAAGGAGAGGAAGAAAATTTCTAAGAGAACAACGTCAAGAACCAATCCAAGAGGAACTCCAGCTACTTGGTGTCAATCAGCGACAGGACTTGGTAGAGACGTTAGAAAGAGACCCACAGAATCTGACTCTTGGTGAGTTGGTCGGTGTTGGGACTTTCGGCCATGTTGTAGAAGGAACCTTACAACAGCCGGAAAAACTGCCAGTAAGAGTAGCCGTTAAAACTGTGAATCTCAACGTCAACCAAGGTAACGTCTACGCGGACTTTTATCGTGAGGTGGGCATACTGGTCCATCTTTTTGACCAATCCTTACACACAAAGGAAGATGAAAAAGTCATGCACCCAAATATCATCCAGTTGTACGGCGTGGTCACCCTGTCTGATCCGAAGAGAATAATACTAGAATTCGCCCCTCACGGAGATCTTCAGATGTACCTGACGAGACTCCGAGACGACATCGACGCGGTGAACTGGGCCACTCTGCTCGGCTTCGCCGTGGATGTGTCCAAGGCTCTACAGGAGTTAGAACGAGTCAGGATTGTCCATCGCGACGTGGCTGCCCTGAACGTGGTCATCACAGACCAAATGGTCGCTAAGCTGGCGGACTTCGGTTTGGCCCGAGACGTCTACACCAACACTGTGTACGAGCGGACCAATCAGCACGGGCGGGATGAGTTACTCCCGATGAAGTGGATGGCGCTGGAGTCTCTCCAGTATGGAGAGTACACCTGTCAGAGCGACGTGTGGTCGTTCGGTGTCATGCTGTGGGAGATTGCCAGTCTAGGAGAGGAGCCTCGCTACCCTGGACCTTTCCGACCAGATTGTTGCCAGATGGTGAACATGCTCAGACAAGGAATCCGCATGGAGAAGCCCCTAGAATGTTCGATTGACCTGTACAGACTAATGTGTCAGAGCTGGTGTGATGTTGGTAAGCACAGACCGACTGCTGTTGAACTTGAGGAGAGACTTGTGAATCTAATTAAGACAATCAAAGATGGAGTCCAGTCAGATGATGATGTTGATCAACTTTCTGATGTACTTGGGAAAACCAAAGATGCCGAGGTTGGCTGTACATCTGTGGCAGTGTGGGAATCTACAATCTGACCATTCCTATGTTAAAGCTGCCAGTATAAGCTATGGTATTCTTCTATTTGGATTTCACTTGTGATGGGGCGAGAATTGTATGTATTAAGTACATATTTCACAAGATAGCATTTCATTGTTGGTTTGCAATTGATGTTAAAACAGATGAGACAAGAGTTGTACGTTACTTTTTATTATTTGCAAATTGATAAATGCAAAGTGTACAAAAACGCTTAAGGTAAGTAAGTACATTGACATGTAACTGTTGCATTATTTTGTACTATTTTTTTCTATAACTAATTTAACTTTTCTGTTTAACGCAATTGAAGTAGACGGATTTCATGGTATAACAGACTACATACAGTAGAGTCATGCATTGATTTTAATTGTATTGTAGCCATATTGCTTTTAAATTTTATCTGATATATTGTGACAATGACATTTTTGCCTTGGGTCCAAAACTCAAGTAAAACATTTCAGTTACACATGTTTAATTACACAGCTATTTGATCATTGTTCCGGGGCACAAAATACTGTTTACGGATAAGAAAAGGGGACCGTCATGCAATGCTGTATTACGTTTTAGTCCGGCTGTCTACAGTTCGGTCCTTGTCCAGCAGCTGCAGTAATCTTGAGTGAAGTGTGGCGGCGCTTATGCTCAAGCTTCTCAGGTCTTCTCTCAAAGACGTTTCCTGAATAAAAAGAAGAAAATGTTAGTGTTTTAATACATTTATCTGTATCACATAGACATCTGTCTAAATTGATTTACAAACTACATTGTTTTGGCAATCTATAAAATCCATTTGTCAAATCTATACAATGGCTATCAAATTAACTATAACGACTAGATAAGAAAATACCTTCAAGCGTTTATGATTCTGTATAAGTCGTCTTACCTCAGTTCCACTGTGGACCAGTAGGTGGCGCAATATAGCCTTAAAGGCGCCGTTCATGTTGTGTTTGGCGTTTAGTCCGCTGCACGAACCATTGGCGCAGGGAACACCTACAAGAACAAAGGGGAAGAATGGGAAATGAATGGCAAAGTCGGTAAATTTGACGTCAGACTTTATCAATTTTGGCAACGCCAGAGTGGCGAGCCTAATAATATACTATGTAATATAACCTGGAAAAATTCTACCAATTAGGCTTGAATGTTGAAGGTTTTGTGACCCAAAATGCTTCCAAAAAGTAGATAATATTGTTGATTTGGGGGAAAATGATTGTTTAATGACGTACCGACATCCCTTCTATCTATCTGGCAATCCGAGTCCACCATGCACTTCCGTTCCACGTTGCTGACGTCATCAAGGTCAGTCAACTTGACTTTGCCCCCCACCCACACGAACTGTTCCACCTTGAAATCCGCCATGAGAAGAGAACCCATCGGAGAGTGTTCCAGATAGTCTAGCAGGCCAGCTAGGTCGATGGCAATCTAGGAAAACAGTAACGATATAATGTAATGATCTAGGAAATCTAGGAAAACGAGTAACGATGAGAAGAAAACAAGATGGACAAGCAAAACAGAAGCAATTAAACAAAGAAATAAAATGCACCAAGAGGAGCTCTTTCAAAGAACAATATACATTCATGTACCTTGCAAAAAGTAGATGTCGCCTAACGCTATTTCTTTTTCTAGCTTTCTTTTGTTCAGACCATCATAGCAATTAGAGCACGGTGCTTCCCAATGGTCCAAGTTAGTGAATCCATACCTTAAGCCGCATTTTCCAGTCCAGCTTGCGCGCCCTTCCTACGTGGAATTTAGTGCCCATTTCTGTCACGGACACCACGCCATGGTCCGCCAGGTTCTCACCAGTTGCTTCACTTTGCACACAGTACCCAAGCAGCTGAGATTCAGAAAACACCATATTTACCGTACAATCTAACAGTCGATAAACCTCTATATACAAATCATAATCCTTAGCAAAATATATTATTGCAAAAAGCGTCACAGTAAATTATCATTTAAATCATGTTACATAACATTAATAGCCATAGATTAGACGTTGGCCATGTTACGGGAGGTCGCATTGTCCGAGCACAACATGTCCACTTTTGATTCAAACGCTTGTAGTAAAAAGCCCCGCCTCTGAGGCGTTACCAAAATGCACAGTATTTTATGGCAAAACGTTATTACTGCAGTAGTCCTCTTACCTGCACGATGTTAGGATGTTTCAGCTGCTGGAGCAATAAGATCTCCTTCAACAGTTTGTAGTTGGGAAAAACAAAACATTTGTTCCATCCACTGCTTTCGCGCGTCTTTTTACATTCACGTACGTCTTTCACGGTCGGAAGAACTCGCTTAACGGCCACCCCATGGCCTCTGTACTCCCCTAGTTCCACAACTTTCGTAACGCCTCTTCCCATTGGACGACTTACTCTAATTCCCGCGATATCCTCGCAGGTGAGGAGCGCAGTCCGATTACCGGGAACGTCGGCAATTCTCATTGGTCCAAGTTCTGATATCCATGGTCCAATCGCTTCCTCCGACACGTTTGCCAGCTTCGCAATGTTTTTCAACTCTTCGCTTAGATTGGCTCGCTGTTGGTCCAATTGGTCAAGGCGAGACAACCCCTCCCAAAGGAGTTCCGTCATATTTGTCCCTCTTGTTTTTGTTTGTGTTGCGTGAGGGATGTCGCCATCTAACATTTGATTTAGCCTGTATCCCGAGTATGTCAAATCGAGAACCGCGGAGACTAAAACGTATACGAGAAGCACGGGGATTACGAAAGAAAGTTTCCTTTTGTGATGAAGGTTACGATGTCGGACCATGGTGGATTATTTGTCACACCTTGAAAAAAAGAAAGAAAAATCCGCATAAGAAACATGTCAGCGTGAAACAGTATCTATGATTTTACAAAACAGGTTTACTATCGCAAACCTGTAATAAAACATGCAAGGTTTCAAATCATGGACAAAATTAAAGCACTGATCACAACTTCACGCACTTCTGAGTTACTCTTCCTGCTTAAAATTGTATAAGCCGCAGCCTCTTCTGTTTTCTCAACAACATTCAATTTGTCGAAATGTGTGCTAAAGAATTACACCGTTTCCGTAGAAATTCAATGGAAAGAATTACTGCGCAGAATCTATTCTTCATGCACACCTTAAAGTATGCCTCAGATTCCGTCTCTTCACTCGCGTGCATCTTTATGCATGCTTTAAGGTATGTTTGAAGATAGGACTTTGTGCAGTGTGAAGCCCAAGTTAAAACTACCAAATGTATGTCAACAGAAACGGCAAATGTAACAAAATGCGTTCTTCAGTAACTATGTGCATGAACGAAGATACTTACTGTATGGTTGGACTTCTATAAACGCTGGTGACTATGATCCAACAAGCCATTAAATGCAAAAACAACTCCGGGCATTACATATGCTGTATTAAGGGCCTATTTCATCCTGATGCAAAATGATAGTTGCTCTTAGCTCTGTCAGTAACTGCATGAAAATACCGCGGCGCAGATTACAGTTCCTAAAACCACGACCGCACGAAAACATCGCTCAATATACTGCCTATTAGTCGTGTTTGGACTTGGCCTTTGTTAAACCCACATGTATGTTGACTATATACATGTGGCTAATGGCGCGTGATCTCTGCACCATGGAGAACCACTTATGGGCACTTAGTGGCAACTGTTTACAAGGTTTCACCGCTAATCCTTGGACTGTTGTACGCAAACAAAGTAGAAGCCAGAATATGCATAGGCTTAACTCATGCAGTTCTAAATACAAGACACGAGCCTTAAGATCCTGATAGTAAGATGAGATAACTCTTGTTTGGACTTAAATATCTTATTGTTAGACACGTTTTATAGATATGATCAAAAGGTGTATTTGAGGTTAGAAAACATTAAATAAAATAAACGCTGCAAGGTCTCAAATAATCTTATCATATCCACAGTGACAGTGCCACCTCTAACATTGACGGTGCATGTCTGTTCCTTTAGTGTATTTTCGTTAGCTCCAAGCAGATCTTGGTGGCTGCAAGACAGTATTAAATTGTCCAGGCTGTATCCATTTACCAGTTACCATCTGCCACCCGAAGTATTGGCTGGCGTAAAAAACCAGATACCAGTACAAATAGAAAGCCCGATAAATACGCCTAAAAGACGTCAAAAAATAACCCGACGTACGCCTTAACCTCTGATTGGAAAGTAGTATTTCGTAGCATCACTACTATCTATGTTTTCTTCGCGACGGGGCCAACGGTGGATTGTTTGTACAATCCAAGCAGAGGTTTGATGCTTTTTTATGTTTGATGTTTTATGCTTTTTTAGCGGGCTTTCTTCTTGTACTGGTATCTTTTGGGGGCTGACACAAAAAAATGACAGTACAAAAAAAGAAAGCCGGATAAAAGCCTAAAAACACGCCAAAAATTAGCCACAGCCCAAACCTCTGCTTGCGAGAGTACATTGTTTATGTTTTACAGCAAACACTGTTGGCCATTAGCGGATCTAGCTGCTGTTATTTTCGGCAGCTTTAATGACTATCGACGGCGTGTTTCACCACAACACGAGATAACCTGCCGCGAGGTCGGTCAGAAAAACACATTCCACGGCACGTAGTTCAGTGTGAGACAAGCGCCAGTATTGTGACAGAAGCGGCCAAGGTTTACACAAATTATGTGGAGGAAAGTTTCTTAAATCGCGGTCACATTCGCTATAACTAACATATTAAGCCGTGGTACGATTTTGATGTTGAATTTTCGAGCAGGCCTTGACAGAACCAATGGTCTTTTTCCCCGTAAAAGAAGATGGCTTGATTTTGTACGACGTATTAGCGACTATCCCAGGAATGATCCTTGTTTACGGTCGTGCGACGATCGTGCCCGTGCCTTAAGCTTATTGAACTGTCTTTCCCAACATCAACCGACAATACAAAGGCAACAACTAGGAGGAACAGAAACGACTTTGAAAACCGGAATACCTGAAATAGGAATCTGTAAACCTGAACAAACTATTAAAAAATTGCCTGATTTGTCCAAGAAAAAAACTTTGGCTGGATGCGCTATTTCACAATTCCCATGGGCAAACCGGCAATGGTCGGATATCGAAAACTGTCAGCGAATCTACTAGTAACCGTCAAA